CCACCCAAATCCATGTCCATTGAGTCAGTGATGCCATCCAACCATCTCATCCTCTGTGGTCCCCTTCTCCTCCTGCCAAATGTTGTTACCTGCAGCCCAAGGCACTTCCTTGTGCATGGGCGGGATGGGGTGGCTTGGGAGGGGTGAGGGGCTGGGAGGGGACAGCATGGAGTCACAAGCTCCTGGATCATCCTCCCTGGCTGAGGAGTGATCCCCAAAGACGTCCAGTCCTAATCCTTAGAGCCTGGGTGAAGTGTGACCTTACGTGGCAAAAGGGGCTTTGCAGAGGTGATTAAATTGAGGCTTTTGGGATGGGGGGATTTTCCAGAATTATCTGGCGGGCTTGAGATGTCATCACAGGATTTTTATAAGAGGGAGGCAGGAGGGTCAGAGTGATAGAAAGAGATGCACAGAGGTCCAGACAGTGAGAGAGACAGTAAGTGAGAGGGGGAGAGGGGGCAGAGGGGGGGAGCAGGGGGAGGAGGAGGGAGAAAGAGAAAGATGCTAGGCCAGTGGCTTTGAAGATGGAGGAAGAAGCCAAAAGCCAAGGAAGTAATGCAGGAAGCTTCTAGAAGCTGGAAAAGGCAAGGGAATGGACCTTCCCCTGGAATCTCCGGAAGGAACACAGTACTGACACCTTGATTTTAGTCCAGTGAAACCCATTTCGGGCTTCTGACCCCCCCCAGATGGCAAATGTGTGTTCATTTTAAGCCACTAAGTTCGTAGTAATTTGTTACAGCAGCAACTGGAAACGAAAACACTCATCTAGAGTCAGTTACCTGCAGACATTAAAATACTCTCAAAGACATCTCACATTTTTAACCTCACTGACCAGCTCCCACAAGAGGAGCGGCAGATGTGACCTGGAGTGGAAACTCCGCTTTCCCGGCTCCTGTAGGTACACGTCCTTCTATTCTCCCAACCCCACAGCTGGACCCCAACAGGGCAAGTCCTCCAAGGAGTGGAAAATCACAGGTCTCCCACCAGGACCCCAACCCAGGAGTAGAAAGCACTGCTATTTTCCAGGAGCCCCTCGGCCTTGTGACAACTGCCCAGCAAGGCCAGGTGGTACACTGCTTAAGACAGAGCTCTGGAGCCATGCAGCCTGGGTTCAAATCCTGCTTCCCCACTCAGAGCTGTGCGACGCTGGGCAACTCACTCAACTTCTCTGTGCCTTGGTTCCCGCCTTTACAAAACGAGGAAGGGGCCGGCAAACTATATAGGGCTGTTTCCCCCTCTGTGGGCCAGATGTTCTCTACTGAAACCATTTAACTCTGACTGATCATGTGAAAGCATCAGCCGTAGTAACAAACAGGTATGACTGCATTCCAATAAAGCTGTACTCAATGGACACTGAGCTTTGAATTGAGTTGTCATGCGTCACGAAATAATGTTCTTTCAAAAATTTTTTTTGATCATTTGAAAATATAAAAACAATTCTCAAGAACTTCTCTGGTGGCCCAGTGGTTAAGAACCTGCCTGCTAACACTGGGGACATGGGTTCAATCCCTGGTCCGGGAAGATTCCACACGCCACATGGGGCAGCTGAGCCTGTGAGCCACACTGCTGAGCTCACGAGCTCTAGATCTGGATCTGGATCTAGATCTAGATCTGGATCTGCATCTGGATCTGCATCTAGATCTGGATCTGGATCTGCATCTAGATCTGGATCGGGATCTAGATCTGGATCGGGATCTGGATCTAGATCTGGATCGGGGGATCCGGATCTGGATCGGGATCTGGATCGGGATCTGCTCTAGATCTAGAGAGAAGCCACGGCAGTGAGAAGCCTGCGCCCCTCAACGAGAGAGCAGCCCTCCCTCAGTACAATGAGAGAAAGCCTGTGTCTGGCAACAAAGACCCAGCTCAGCCAAAACTTAATTATTTCATCAAAATACATAAAAAACATTCCCAGCTCCTGGACTGGACAACACCCAGTAGTGGACCTGATTTGACCTGCGGGCTGAACTTTGCCAGCTCCTGAAATGAAGGGCTAAATGAGCTAAACCATGTGCTTCAAACAGTGCCTGGTACACACTCAGAGCTCGGTAACACAAGCATTGATTACTATTTTTTTCAGAGGTGAAAATTGAGTGTAGAGATAAAGAGCTCTCTGTACCTGTTAGCTTGTTCCCCTCAGTACCGTGAGAGTCAGCCCTAAATGTCCAGTCTCTCTGTCAGATCTGTGGAGATTTTTTTTTTTCAGACTCCTTCCTCCCAAAAGCAGCATCCTGGAATTACTGGGCCCTGGTAATCTGATGCCAAACAAGTCTCTGGCCCTCTGAGGTCACACTTGGAAGGATGAGGGCATTGAGCACTGGGTGCCTGAGTCCTATTTCCCCCCACCACCACCAAAAAATCTTAATTTGGACCCTTTCCCAAAGCTACCACCACCATCTCCCCCAGTGGCTTTGCCAGCCTGCTCCCTGCCTCCGCCCCTTCCAGTTGATTCTCCCACTGCAGCCAGTGGGATCCTTGTAAAAACTGAAATCAGATCATGTCCCTCCTGGGGTCTGCCCTGACAGTCCAGTGGTTAAAACTCCATGTTTCCCCCTCAGGGAACATGGGTTCAACCCCTGGTCAAGGACCTAAGACCCTGCATGGCACACAGTGTGGCCAAAAAACTAAAAACAATCAACAACAACAACAAAACCAGATCATATCCCTGCTGTGTTCTAAATGCTAGCAAGGCTCCCATCTTGTGCCTAGGAATGGACCCACTTTGCACAGTGGTCCACAAAGTGAAAGTGAAGTCGCTCAGTCCTGTCCGACTCTTTGTGACCTCGTGGACTGTAGCCTACCAGGCTCCTCCGTCCATGGCATTTCCCAGGCAAGAATATTGGAGTGGGTTGCCATTTCCTTCTCCAGTGGTCCACAAAGCCCCAGGCAATCTGGCTTCCCTCTCCTGTTTCCTCCCTCATCCTTCACCCCCCAGGTCACTGTTCTAGCCAATTTGGCCTCCCAAAGTTTGTGACATGACATGGCCTTCTGCTCCTGCCTCAGGGCCTTTGCACGTGCTGTTCTGCTATGTATCTGCAAAGTTTCAAACCTCCCTCTGTACACAGAGAGGCCTGTCCCACCAGCCCAAGGCAAAGCGGTCACCTCTCTCCATCTCACTCCATCACATCCCTACCCTGTTTGGTGATTCTCGTCGTTCAGTGAAATCCTGTGGATTTACCTGACCTGTGAGCCTGTTTCTCATGTGTGTCCCCAACTAGAAATACAAGCTCCATGAGGGCAGGAACTGAGTGATTTACTCCTCACATGTAGCACAGTTCCTGGCACATAATAGGTGCTCAATAAATATTTGTTGAATGAGTGACTACATAAAAGGACCTAGGTGAGGAGTGGGTGGCCTTTCCCAGCCTGCAGGCTCCCTGGCCAGAGGCTGGCAGGACTCCCAAAAGGCCAGCCGCCTGTGTAGTCCTGGGAGGCGGTAAGCCAAAGATGGAGGATCTGGATTCAGCCATGAGTCCACGTCCTGGCTCTGCAACTTCCCTCATGGCCAACTTCCCCTCCCTCAACCTCAGCATCCTCATGGGCAGCACAGAAATCATCAGACTCATCTCGGGGGTTTGAGGGCAGGATTTGGTGAGCACTGCACAGCGCTGGCTGAAGAGCTCAATAACTCAGAGAGATTATCTGACCCAAGCCACAGATAACCCCCATTTTCCTGCCTCCAAGAGGCAGCAGTCAATTTTATAACCTACAGTAACCGCAAATCACTTTCCCATCTGTAAAATAGGCATAATTACCTGTTTGCCTGGTTCAAACAAGGGGCATGAAGGTACTCTGCAGCCCCATAAAGTTGGCGTGGGTGCTAAACACACTCTCAGCTGTCTGTTCAGGTGGGGAGGAGTTTGTTACTCCATTTGTCCTCCCATTGAAGAAAATATGAAGTGAGAATCCAGCCGCCCTGCCTTCAGATTTTCACTCTGGATCCACTGCAACCTCCCCTCCCCTTACAGACATCAGAACAGAATGATGAGAGTTCCCTGCAGCCGGTCTCCACCATCTGCATACCTCCCTGCCTCAGAAGGAAGCCTCCTTGCTCTCATCACCGCTTCTCCTTTGGTGCATCCAAGTCAAAGGCACTACCATCCCCCCACCCACCAAGACACTAAGGCCAGAAATCTGGAGCCATCTTCGATTCCTTTCTTCCACCACTTTGCCCCTCCATTCAAACCATCAGTACCTCCTGCCTGTTATGCTTCTGACATTACTCCAAGTCCCGCCACTTCTTTCCTCTCTTGCACAACCATCACCTGGGAAGCTGCCAGAGCTTTCCTGCTGGTCTCCCTGCTGCTACCCTCAATCCATTTTCTCCAGAGAAGCCAGAAACATCCTTTGAAGAAATAAATCGGATTTTGATAACTCCCTGCTGAAAACCTTCCATGGGCCCCCCACTGTCATAAACCAAATCCCACCTCCTAGCTTCGGCTCCTAAGGTCTTTTGTAATCTGACCACCACCACATCTCCATCTTCATTCTTAACACTCTCCCCCATGACACCCTGTTCCAGCCACTCTGGCCTCCTCACAGTTCCAGAGATCCACTAAGCTTGGTCCTAACTCAGGCCCTTTGCATATGCTTTTCTTTCCACCTAGAATGTTCTTCCTTCTGGTGTCTGTTACAAGTGGCTTCCTTTCTCCACGCAGGGCTTGGCTTAAAAGGTCACTTCCTCCCAGAAGCCATGTGTGATCACCCAATCGGAAACAGTTGTAAATACTCCCTGTACCTCATAGCCCCACTCTGCAATACCACTTCATCCTCTTCATCTGTAGAGCACCTAGCATCTTACTGCCCGAAATCTACATGTTTATTTAGCCATCCTCCTAGGAAACTGCTCACTCCATCAGGGCAGGGACTTTTGTCCACAGTGTATGTTCCCTGGCATATTCCAGGGCTCATTTCAGTGCTTGGGAGAGTAGGTGCTCAGTAAATACCGGGTCACCTGACTGCGTCCCCACCTGATGCCAGTGCCCTGAGTGCATACTCACGTCTACCACGCCGGTCTGGCTCACACCTGAGGCTGGAAACTGGGAGCTAACGTGGGCCCCTGCAGATGGGGCCCTGGCCCCGGACGCTGTCTCCACCATTCGCAGCACACAGAGCAAAGTCAGGACCCAGTACACATTCAGCAGGCCTCCGGCCATCAGCCCCCAAGGGGCCCAGCCCTCACCCGATGCTTCCCCTTCTGCAGTGCTTCAGTTCCAAACAGCTGGCACCTCCAGTGGCCTGCTGGGCAGGAGCGAGAAAGGGACAGTGTCATGGAAGACTAGACCGCAGGACCCAACAGGAGGGGCCTGAAGAATGCCCCCCCCCATCTCCCTCCGAAGGAAAGCCACGCAGAAGCCACATTCTGGAAGGGCCTGACTCATCTAGCAGGCAGAGGACATAGCCCTTCCTCCTGAGCCCCCAGTAGCGTTTCCATGGAAACCCAGGGCAATAACCGCCTCTGATGGGGAAATCAAGGCCCAGGGGGAAATGAATTGCTCAAAGTCAGACTGCCCGTTTACAGCAGAGCTGGGCCGGACTTTAGCATCTGTCTTTTCCCTCAACACTAGGGAAAAACCAGCTTAATTTTTCTCTCAAAGAAATTAAACTGGAAAGGGGAAAAAGAAAAAAAAGTCCCTGGCATACTAGTTTTCTTCTTTTGGCTCTTCCACGTGTTGCTAATGAGCCTGTTTTGCCTTCAAGAAAAACAAAGCCCAGAGAACAAGGTTTCTCTTTTTTTTGTAAATCTTTGCTCAAAGTCCTGGCGGGGCAGGGGGTCCCTGGGGGAAGGAAAAGTGGGCAGAGGGCCTGTCTCAGCACTCTTTCCTCACCTGTTGACAGGCTCTTCCCTCCTGCAGTTTTCTGTAACTGCACTTGGCACTGACTTGGAGCCGACACTCCAGGTCTGCAATACAGTTTTAGCCACTGGGGCGCTATGCGGCCTTAGGGCGGTCACTCCACGTCTCTGAGCTTCTGATTCTTCATCCGTAAAATGAAGACAAACGCTGGCGCGTCAGAACAAACGTTAAGGGTTCATTTAACAAGGGCTCACGCCCTCAGGTGTTCCCAACTTAAGGATCAACACGAGTCTCCTCTCTATTGGCCGCCGATTTCTCGTGCTCGCTCACAAGGGAGCATTTATTGAGCGCGACTATGCTCTTGTCCGAGGCTAGACTTTCAGACGCTCGGAAGATCTGCAGACTTGATAGGGAGGAGCAGAGGCAGGAAACTGGGGTTACGATCACTTCTGCGGCTGCACTTTCTAGGTGCGAGACCCCGGGAACGTCCAAGTGCTCCGTTTCCCAATCCTGGCGGATGTTGAGCAGATGAACTCTGGGTGCGTGATCCTCCCGCCGCGCCCAGGCGGGCGGGGAGGCTCCTCTTACCTCCGGCCGGGCCTCGGACCCGCAAACTCCTCACCGCGACCCCGCAGGGCTTCGCGGCCTTTCCAGCCTCCGCCCGCCGGCCCGCGCCGCTGGACCTTCTGCCCCAGACGTCTCGGACTCGCGCCCCTCTCGGGCAGCCGCATCCGGGTCCGGTCCCCCGGACAGCCCCAGGCTCTGCCCCGGCTCTCCCCGCGCCGGCCACGCCCCTCATGCAACCCCGCCCAGCGGACACGCCCCCAAAGGCTCGCCCCTTCCCTTAAAGGCACAGGTGCCCTGCGCGGTCCCTAGGGTCTTCCCCACTCTCCGTCCTGTTCTCAGTCACCTGCAGGTCGGTTCTGCTTTCGCTGAAAAAGCAGAAGCTGAGATGAAACCTCATGCATATAAACCATAGGAGGCCGGAGAGGAACTTTTATAGGGTGAAATTAGGGGGTTCTCTTCTCAAGGGAGAGGTGGGCGAGTCAGCGTCAAAATTCTTCTGGTAATCAATGGTGATAAGTATCTGAGAGGGTACAAGGTTGGTAAGATTCCTGGAGAAGGGAATGGCAACCCACTCCAGTATTCTTGCCTGGAGACTCCCATGGACAGAGGACCCTAGTGGGCTAGAGTCCATGGGATCACAAAGAGTCGGACACAACTGAGCAACTGACTCAGTGAACGCTCTGCCTTGCACACACAAACTCTGGCTGCCTTGCCTGAAATGCCTGTTTGTGAGATCTCCTAATTGGGTTCAGCGTTTCCATTTAGTAGGCTGGTCTTTAAAAGAAGAACATGGCGGGGAATTCCCCTGTGGTCCAGCGGTTAAGACTTTGCCCTTCCACTGCAGGGGTCACCGGTTCCATTCCTGGGTGGTAAACGAAGATCCTCACAATAGGGCCAAAAAAGAAGAGGATGAATATGGCAAATAGGTCGAAACAGGTGACTGGTCTACTTGCCCTGGAGGCTCTAGTTCCCCCTCCCCAGTTTCCCAGCCTCCTTTCCTTCTGTTGGGGTGGGGTAATTAAGTGTTAGTCGCTCAGTCGTGTCCAACTCTTTGCGACCCCATGGACTATAGCCTGCCAGGCTCCTCTGTCCAGGGAATTCTCCAGGCAAGAATACTGGAGTGGGTTGTCATTCCCTTCTCCAGGGGATCTTCCTGATCCAGGAGTCCAGCCCTCTTCTCCTGCATTGCAGACAGATTCTTTACTGTCTGGGCCTCCAGGGAAACCCCTGGAGTGGGGCAGGGCACCGAAAGAGGGATCTGGGGGTTTCCTCCTCCAACAGCCTCCACCACCACAGGTACACACATCTCATCTCACCGCCTCCCTCTCCAAGTCTGTCCTGTCTCCTCATCACCTTGAGGACCGAGGCCGAACACTGAGCCCAGCGATCAATCGAAACCCTTGGCCGTCTAGCCCGAGCTCCCTTTGCTGATTTCATCTTTTATCTCCATCTCCACCCCCTGGGTCGGGAAGATCCCCTGGAGAAGGAAATGGCAACCCACTCCAGTATTCTTGCCTGGAAAATCCCATGGACAGAGGAACCTGGTAGGCTACAGTCCATGAGGCGGCAAAGAGTCGGACACGACTGAACTTAATTTACCACCCTCTCCTGCTCTAGCCAGGGATATAGGGGACTTAACAGTCGGCCACACCTCTGCTCCTTCAGAGCGGCCTGCCTGGGTTGCCAGCCCTTCCCTTGTCTCCCTGACAGACTCTTTCCTAGGTGCTAGACCCTGCTTGAGAGCCACCACCTCTGGGTGGTCTTTCATTCTCCTCCCTGCCCGCCCCTCCCACCACCCTCACGTTCCTTGCCTTTAGAGCACTCTAGCTCCCCATCCCAGAGAGGATGACCTTGTGGTCTCGAGCATACCTTTGGAATCTCGGCCTGTAGATAATAGTGATTCACAGAGTGTCCTTGTGCTTGGCCCATTTAATAGCCCTGTGGATAGGGACAGAGGAAAGGGGCAAAGTAGGTGATTAAATAGTTAATCCTCTAGGGGATTGTAAGTAAACAGTATGGGAGACCCCTGGAAGTTAACAATCACTCTAGAATGCAGGCTTGCTTAACCACAAAACCAAGCAGGTTTGTTTAGCAACAGAGCCAGGAGTCTCGGCCCCAAACAATAAAACAACGGTGGCCTGAGCCCCACGTCCTGCCTGGTGAGCTCAGAAAGTTAATGACCCCTAGGACATGCTCTCTGCACACGTAAAAAAACCAGTAATTTATGAAAGGTGACATTTCAAAGTAAAAGACCATCATTGTATTGAGACCTAAAGTAATTTTTCCATAGTTCGGTAAGAGTCCTCCAGGGAAGGTAAGAAAACTCTCCTGCCCAACCTGGAGGAGGAGCTGATGATGGAAGCATGACCTCTACTCAAGAATGAAAAAGGTGGTGGTCTTTTTCTCCCTCCCCACTTTTGATTATAAAACTGTAGCCCGATAAGTTCTTGGGGTGCAGCACCCTCTCAGTTGCCTGAAAAAATCACCTCTTATCTATCACTTTGCCTCTCGCTGAATTCTTTCTATGCTGAGACATAAAGGAGGCCCCCTGAAATTCCACCTAGTGGTTTCACTGTGGGGTGAGGGATAGAGAGATCCCCATTTCGCAGATGAGGGAAATCGAGGTTCAAGGAGATGAAGCAACCTGTCCCCAAGGCACCCAACAGGAAGTGGCAAAGCTTTGCACCTAGGTCTGAGTGACCCCAGGTGAGTCCCCTTCACCACAACGGACTGAATGTCCTGCATCACTCCACAGTAAGGCTAGATCTATCTAACATTCAGCAGCTGTATTCAGAAGGCCCAGGGCCTGGGTGGTGTCAACTGAAAAAAACACAACCTTGGCATCTTGGTTTCACTGGGACCTTACTGAGGACAATAGCCTCTCACATAGCTCTGAGGAATTGCTCCAAAGAGGTGGAGGAGAAGCCAGTATATATATAATCTTTTTAGACTGGAAAATACATGTAGTCAAGCATACATCTTGGTGAAAATTTATTGTTAATGACAGAAATATAGACATCTCAAGTTAATGATTGTAGTGCTTTTCTAAAGCACTAAAATGGATGGGAAGATGCAAAAATCTGGGGTCATTGAAATCTTCCCTTAGTTATACATCTTAGCTTTCTGGGGGCCATAGATCCCAAACCCAGAATGCTCCCTCCTGTTTTTTCAACCCTAAATGCTCCGTAGGGTGCACTGCAGTGGGTCATGATTGAACCCTTTGCAGAACTGGAAGATGAGCCAGAGTCTGTTCTTTTTATCGACAGTGGCAGCTTCAGGAACAAAGCAAATGTTTGGGGAAACTGTGAGCAGAAGTAATAGGCTCAAAGGGGAACTTAAAAGAGGAAAGAGAGAGAGAATTAGAGCTTCCAGTCTTTACTGAAGAGGCCCAAAGACTAAGAAGGTGCCTTAAGCCTACCTAAGTCTCACCTGCAACTAATGCAAGTTCTCTCTTGATCCTAGCAACCCTGGGCAAAGAGTCGTACCACACCTACTTGAACTCCCCTGGGGACGGGGTGCTCATTACCTCCCACGGCAGCCCAGTAACCAGCAAACAGTACCAACTTCAAGGAAGTGTTTTCATTGTCATTGCCAGGAGTTTGCATGGGAATAATCCTTCTAGAAGGGGACTTGGCCATTGATAAATGTCAATCTTGAGAGCCTTGAAAACACATGTGCCTCTTGTGCCTCAGTTGCTCCTGGAGCTTTTCTGAAGAGGAGACCATTTGGACAACACTCTAAGCCTGAGAATGTTTACTGGTCATCTTCATGCTTGTGCAAAGATTGAAAATATC